TAATCTGCATAGCATTATTATAACAACATGTTTAATGTGAAATATGAATATAAATTTATCCATTTTTTAATGAGTTTCTATGTAAGTTCAGTATTTTTGTACCTATAGATTCGCATTTACCCTTGGGTACCGCGTACTTCTACATAAATATACCTAAAATATTTGACTATTAAATTAATCTGCATGCATATTCCCTGGAATGTATGGGCGTGAGCATCCCTGCATATGCTCACTCATTCTTCCGGTTTTTTCACACTGAAAACTGCAGAAACAACCGAGAGGACCTGCAAAAGGGATAAAAAACAGAGACTTGATAGCCGACCGGAGGGTTCTAACAGGTATTGTCTCATCCGATGAACTGATATGTCTGTACTTTCCCGCACTTCTATTGATCTCTTATGGCACATATGCTTCCTCGTATATCTGTATATACGCATGTGCCTGCTGCGTACTGAGAATGTATCTGCAGTTTTGAACAGTTCAGATACTTACATTGGGCATGCAGTATCACGGGGGTTCTTGTATGCCTGTTGAGCGCGTAAGTGAATATACACATACTTGATACGCCAAATTGAGAAACAATGAATGAAAGTTGATCGTTGCGATAACAAAGTTTGACACCCAGCCAATGAGATTTGAGATTTGAGAAGCAGCATCTGTGTAGACCGGGTTTTTGAGTACTTTCTTATATTGACTGATCCTAATGGGGTTCTCTATGGTATTCCCTGAGTACAAATCTTTGTCGAACTCGAGCGAAGAAAAAAATATGGTCAGTACGTTGAAAGCTTAGTTAGATATATACATATACCGGTGATACAATCCTTCCATTTCTTATCATTCTGTTGAGACGCGTTCATGAGAATAGTAATCACCTGCTCACATCCTCCACAGCCCCCGTCACACACAACCATGAGCACCAACACCTGGGGGGTGGGATTTCGCCGAGAATGCAAAGGAAGACGGTAGGTTGATGGGAATCCCATGCAAGTGTATATACCTTGCAGGTAGTCATAGTCTAACTTGCGAGCCTATAGGCATGTGTGGGAGTAGAGTATGAATGTAGATATGCTCATATACTTACACCAATATGGATCACTATATATGTCCGACGATGTATGTGTATTGTGTATGCACGCTTATTTCCTGCGCAAACTTTGCGGTTAGTCCTGGTTTACCGTACTGATTGCTCAGACTGATTGTCGGTACCTCTACAATTCTGCGATTTGTGGGAGAATGTCAAGTGTGTTTTAACGCATCTTGAGAAGACAAAGCAGGCAAATGTCAGCCAATAGAACCATGGAGATTAAATAACGGCAGATTCTAAGCGTATAGTGCAAATTATTCGTGCATTCTTTGGCTAAGCGTATAGTGCGAATTATTTGTGTATTCATTGGCTAAGTGTATAGTGCGAATTATCTGTGTATTCCTTCGCTTGGGCTCTCGCCTGTCCATACTAGAGAGTAGGTATCAAAAGTTGAGATATAGCATCGGTATGAAGCCTAGCCGTATGCTCTGGTCCATATATATCTTACCAACTAACGTTAAACGCTAGTTGTACGTAAGCTTCCTGTGGTACATATCTCCCTATATAAACGTTACCGAAATCTGATAGTTGAACACTGTTTGTTATCATGGTGCAGGCAATGCACTCTCACTTGCTACATTTACTTCTCCCAATCTGTACGTATGCATATTGCTTTTGAACACGTTATAACGTTTTGCAACATCACCCGACGTGCTGAACTGTATGCAACACCAGAATCCTGAGAGACGCCAACGGACCCGAACGAACAGTAAAAGGGGCACTATGGACAAGCTGAATATGAGCAGCGACGACGTGGAACAACTGCGACAAGCATTCTTATTGTAAGCCATCTATCATCCGTGTTGCTATATAT